AAGGAGTTCTTATGTTGTGTGCATGGCAGAGAATGTTTTATTGGTTGTTTTATTTCTATGAATAAGATCCACTTTAATGGGTGCAGAATATTTATTTTCTCACAGAGGTATTAATATGGCATAATATAGTACAAGTTTTGTCACATAGCTGTATTCAATGCCACTATAACCTGATTTGGGATAAAATATGGAAGTACATCAGGGAACATCTGATTTTATAGCTTTTAAATTTAGTATAATATAAACTCAGCTCTCTCACTGAGAATTGAAGTCGTTGCAGGACAGAAAATTTTTGAACAAAGAACAAATCCATTATTCAATATTCAGAGTTCCAGACATGGTGTTTTTCTTTAGATTCATTGCTTCTGTGTAATGCTGCCTTTGTTTGAGAAAGTCTTTTTTTTTTTTTTTTTTTTTTTTTAAAATTTAAACACAATTTTTTGGCGGGGGGGTTTTTTTTTTTTTTTTTTTAAAATTTAAACACAATTTTTTGGCGGGGGGGTTTTTTTTTTTTTTTTTTTATTTTTGATAATATGAAAAGAACTTCTCTGCAGAGGTGTTTTTTATCTTGTTTTTTAACTTCAGGACCACCTAAGTCGTGGAAAGAAATTTATTGACCATGTAATGTGATACCCAGAAATCAGAAGAAGGAACAGTAGATTTGGGTCGCAAACTCTTTGCATATTTGAGACAAATCATGTGTTAGGGATGGCACTGTAACCTACAAAATAAATACTAATAACCTGTGAATTAACTCATTCCCGAAAGAACTGGATGCCAAACACATTTTAAGCCTGGTTAAAAACTAGTTTTTCAAAACACATCAGAGGAACTAAATATTTCGGAGTCAATCCTAAATGCACTAAACCCAACAACTAACCTCCTGTTTGTGGGACCAAGGCTATGGAGCTCAGTGAAAGAAGTGGACACAGTTGCTGGAAACTTCAACATATATTAGGTATGAAATGCTTCTGCAAATCAAGTGTTTGGTTTCCTGTTTACATATGAATGAAATAATTTTGATAATTCTGGTTCCAGTTTTCATTTTCTCTCTGGACCAAGGCCATGCTAGATCCCAAGGAGAAGCTATGGGCCTTGTTCTCCACTCCTCAGCCTACTGGTAGCCCTCCTGTCAGCCAACAGATGTTAATTTCTCCTTCACTTCACCTAACATAAACATATATCCTAACCACTTGCTTTTAAATAGAACACAATGTTTTTTCAGTCTGCCTCATCATCCCTTGTGTTACAAAGGGAAAAATAACGTCTCTGAGTAGAAATATTTGTCACTATTTCATCACTTGCCACTGCATGGAAAGCTTGATAAATGGTTTGAAAATATTTTTTTGCAATGATTATTATGTACTTTTATATGAATGCAGCTTACTGCTCTATCTGTGGTGTATCCAAGGGTATGTTTTTCCCTGCAGGGACCAAAAGGAGGGAGAGAAATCATGGTACTAGGCTGGAAAAAGCATCCTGATACAGCTCATTGCACTACAAAGTCAGGAGTGCTTTGTGGACCAGTGGCCGACAGCTGATAAATGGCATTTGCGCCACCATTAATGTGAAGCTCATTGTTTGGGAGATACCTATTTAAGGACCAGTCTCTGTCTGGTTTGTTGCAATGTCCATAAATAATAGTAGGAACATAAAGGGCTTCTATAGCAAATGGTGGAGCTGCCTTTGACACTGGGTGGTCGGTGCAGATCAGCTTGTCTGAATGTTGTTTTAGTTGAGTCTGAAAGAAGCTGAAAATTTGTTAAAAAATTTCTTTTCACAAAACAAGCAGACAGCTGAAATCACTGCTGTTCAGTGGCCTCTCGAAAGAAACTTTTGTTGTTGTGATTGATCTGAAGAGTTTAGAAAAGCATTTGCTTTCCACAGTTTTCTTCTTCATTTTATCTGGGGATCTATGTTTTCTCCTGTGATCCCAGCTTCTGTTTCCTCTTCTTTTTGGTTCTATTTCATCACTGAAAAAGAAATGGTGAGACAAAGAGGAAAGACATGAAGAGGAAAAAGGGATGTTATTAGTTTAACGTCTTGTTGGAAACCTTTTCATTTCTAATGAGGGGGTTTTTTGCACCCAAGGAAATAGTTCATTTTTAACAACCCGTAGTGCGCAGACTATTGCTTTCAAATTTTCCTGTGGAAAATAAATGAAGTGAAGCTAAGGTACCTCCTTAGTATGCAAACACACATAACTAAATTCACAGTGCTTAAGATTAAAAGATGAAGGGACCCAAACCTCTCAAACAGAAAACTTTTGGATAGCTCTGCAACTGGCCTCAGTGCTGACTCCACTGACCAAAGATGCCAGGGGCACTATTTAGCTCTCTGAGCCATCAAGGCTGCCTTGGGGTATCCAGCCCAGCCTCCACCTGCCTGTCCAGAAGCATGCAGCTCGCTCAGAGGTCCTCAGCCACTTCAGAGCATCTAGATGGCACTAGCAGCCTATATTTAGGCACCTGAACTGAGCCCCAGGGGTATGATTCAGCTTCAAGTTCAGGCATTTGGATGTGTACAGTGTGCTCTAGGGGTCTACACTCTCAGACTGAATAGGGACCCAGATCTGTGTTCATCTACACACAAACATCTCATGTTATCTGAAGTGCCCTTGGATATTGGAGGCATCTCTGTGGGGCTGGCAGATACTGGTGTAGGTGAGCAGAATCACTCTGTAAACTCCCTTGACTGTGCTGGGTTTCCACACATTTCTCCCAGACAGACACCTGTAGATGTTTCCATTGAGGCATCTCAATCTGGAGCTGGCAGCCCCTGGGTGGCATCCGTGCTCTCACACCCCGCATGCTCAGCCAGGAACAGATGGGGAAAGTACTCATGGTTCACTTACTGCAAACCAGATCCTGACCGCCCAAGTGGCAACTTGATAAAATGACAGTCTTGTCCTCTCCTTTAACAGCTGTTCTTGAGAAATCATGAAGGATGAGAGCCAGGATAGCACAGTGATGGTTTCGCTGTGGAAAGAACATCACTACTCCCTTTAACCTGATGGCTAGGTGACTCCCACTAGCTCTGACTACCTTTTAGCACTGTTGCTGCTCTGATTTTGGCAGGCAAACAGTTCATAAAATTGATTTATAAGGAAAGAGGTCACAGGAAATCCTCCTTATACAACACAGTTCGGCTTGTATATAACTAGGAGGCCAGGGCAAATTTTTGGCACCTGCTCCCAGCCCACTTTTTGGAATGGTGAGTGGGTAAATCTGCATCATTCTCTGAATTGCACTGAAGGAAGACTGCACTGAGCAATGATTTACTTGTAGAGATACTTACCTGTATCAAGGCTAGCAGCTTCAGGATCACTTTTCCTAGATATAAGAAGCCCTTTAGATGAAAAGTGGAGAAAAGTTGATCTTTAGGTATCTCAGAAGCATTTGTCCTAGAAAACAAAGTTATTCCTATATTTGCAAGGAGAAAAAAAAAATCAACCAGACATCCGGGGCTGACAGAAAACCTTGAGAACATGGTAAACCAACCCTAGAGCACAATTGTTTTCTGCATTTTCTCATGTAATGGCTAGGGAAACTGAGGCATGGCACAACCACAAGTTTTCCCTGGGGGCCCACAGCAAGAGATGATGACATGAGCCTCCCATGTATCTTAACCCCCATCTATTCTGTCCAGGAGTCAGGTTGAAGTAGGATTGTGTTGTGACACTCTTTAGTAAACCCTGAAACGCACCAGGAGAGTGTGTGCAGGTAATGACAATCTCAGTTTAAACTTCTCCAACTAAATCTTAGTGAGAATGCAGGAACGCTCCAGATTAGGAGCCTTAATGAAAGGAAATGCATTTCTTTAGTCAGTGAGTGAAATAAAGTGGACACCAGCTCAGCTCTCCACTAAAATGATGATGAGGAAGACTAAAAAGCAACCTCGAGACTAATTTTCTAAGTTTCAAACTGTGAAATATTGCACACTTAATATTTTTGTAACAACTTAACCCTCCCACACATGGGAGGAATAGATTATGACCCTCCCTTCCACACTATTCCTGATTTATACTCATCAGAGATTAGAGGCTCTAGAGGTTCATCATAAAAGTGCTGACCCAGCCACTTGAGGGGCTGTGATAAATATTGCATGAGATATCCATACATGCAGAAATCTTTTATGGAACATTAATCACTGCTAACTTAATGCTGTGGGATGTTTTACTATTTTCTAAGTACTAAATGATTCATTAAAAAAGCTGATTTACTCTGAACTTTGACCCAAACTTTTGGTGGGGTGAGAATGCAGAGATGCAGGAGCAGCAGAACTTCACTTTGAACCTGAGCTCTTTCAGGATAGGGCAGAGAACAGTTTTCCTCTCTTTCTTTCTGTCCCTTTTTCTTTCCCACAAATGAGTTCCCAACCTAAAGAAGGGCTCATGTACCATTTAGAGCTACAGAGCATGAACACTCACCCCTTTAATTTATAATGCTGGACCTCAGACACTCCAGCAGCACTTCTCATTTTCCCTTAGTTGCAAATCTTTACTCTTTTCAGTACCTCTTTCTTGCCCCAGGCTTAGACCAAGCCTTAGGCAATATTCATCTGAGTGAATGCAAAGGCGTGATTCATCTCAGCAAAGGCAAGCATTGCCTTTGACGTGTATGACACTCTAAACTTGCTGGCTATATGACAAGCCTTTCTTCGACTAGAAGGGGAACCTAGAGATGAGCCTTCACCTTTTGTAGCCATCGGTGGCAAACAATGCTCAGATGGTGTTACGTGTTTCCAATTTAGATATTCCAATTTTAGTTAGGCCACCCCACATCTGAGCTTCCTATCCAATTAATGAAGAGAAACAGGTCTTTTGGGGAAGATTTCTATCACCCTAAAATAGGGTAGAGAAGCTGTGAAAGCTATGATCTACATGCACCTGCTTCTCTTCACGATCTGTAAAAAAAGCCAAGGCAATTTGCTTGGATACAGACATTTATAGATAGATGAGGTGATCTCATCCATTAGCATCAGGTTCAGCCATATGGACCATGCGAGATGCCCTAGGGTATTGTGGCTGCCCGCAGTTGGCCCTCTGGAAGGCTCTGATCCTGTGCCATATTGGTCAGCCCTGCAGCCGATATGGCACAAGCCAGTCCCAAGGCCCTTGGACACCTCCAGTGGCATCAGACACCCACGTATGGGTAAGTGAATTGAGTCCTTGGTGTCATTCATTTGTACTCCTCCCCACACCTTGCGGGGTTTCTATTTGAAATAGGAAAATAATCCCTCTTGCCAACATTTTAAGAGAGAAGGAACTTATTTTTACAAGACCCTGCTGCAAATACTGGAAATCAGATTCAAAGCTGAACTTCTGAACTGTGGTCTCCAAAAATGAGGCTTCTTTTTCCTCTTACTTGCAAGCATATCAGCAGCTGGTGCAATCCAGTTGCAGACCAGTGACATTTAGACTAGAAGGGTTTTGGCTGTTTGTTCCTAACTGGGCTTGTGATCATGCAGATCACAGACATTTTCAGCATCCTGTGGACTATGGCTGACCTTCATGTGCTTGTTTCCTTCTTTGGCTGACTCTGTTTATTTGCTTCCCACAGTTTGATTTCCTTGGGAAGTATGGAAACTTTCTCCTTCCTTTTACTACTGCCCCAGCGAGCAACATCTGATGAGCTGTATGCATCTGCCAGCTGGAGCTGCTGGCACAGGTATCTGCTGTGCAGGTGTTTTCATTGCACTTTCACGTAACAGCTGAACATCTGCGTGGCATAAGACATTCAAGGATTTATGGAAAGCGGGGCTGTATTTGTATGGAAGAATGCCTCTGGTTTCAGACTACTTCTTCTCTAAAGCTAGTTTTAATTTTTGATGGGAGATGTTGAAACAGAGAATTTGGGTGTCTCATGTAGAGTTTGTTTTTCAGCAGGGCTTTTATTTTGTTCCAGAACACCCTTACTAGCAAACTGTTGACATAACTAAAACAACAGGATTTTAAGACTGCACCAGATTAGGAAACACACAGATCAGCAGGATGAACAGAGTTGATGGAATTTCTTGCATCTTTTTATAAAATGATCAGTATCTATCACGATTTAGACTTGATTCTCCATACTGAGTGTAACTTGACCGCAGACATCCTACAACATAGAACAGAATGTACCAATATCCTCTTATTTGATGCTGGAGAAACAAAATTTAAAGATAGCAATCAAGTCAGCTAAATGAGAGATAAAAATACAGAAAACCTACACTGCATTTTAGCAATGCTGGAAACTCTTTCTATTGCTTTTGTTATGTCTTCCATTTTCATGTCAATATCTGTATTTTTGAATTCTCTTAATATGTAACTGCATAGAAAAACTCATACATTAGGTTGGCTTAAAAGAAAAGTAACCTTGTAAACATCTTGCTGGAGGTTTTAAATGTTAATGAGCCAGAGTGAAGTTCTTGCTGTGGGCAACCCACGCATCTCTGAAAAGTGTAAACAGCAAGGAGGAAGGGGAATTACAGAGGATGGTACAAGGTAGTATAATTATCTGTAATGGGCTGGAATTACTGAAGGGAAGATGTAGGCAGGTTGTAGGGGAATGACTGTGAGCACGGGTATGATGAAGCTGTGGAGCAGTCCCCTGGTTTGCTTGGTCTAGTGTTGTTGCAATGGACACCAGAGAACCTTGTTAAAGGACAAGAAATTGTCTTTTAAGAAAAAGTTGTGCAGCAGCAAAGTACTATGTTTATACAGTGGGTCTATACATCTAGCCTTGTTTCTTTGGTCCCAGCCCTGCCATGTGATAGGCATATGTCTGGCAACCTGGAAAAAGGGGACTGAGGAGCTGGTTACCACCACTGGAAGAGTTCATTTCACCTACTGCTCTCTGACTCACTCCAAAACACTCTGAAGAACAAGCTTAACTGTTCATTTTTGCTCCTAAGGTCAAAACGGAACTACTGTTGCATGTACAATGCAAACAATATCCATTGGATGTCCAGCAAATTCAGCTCTTCTAGGAAACCTTAGATTTACTTAACAGATTCACTGTACTGTCCATACACCAGAGATGTAAAAGTTACCCGTTAGAGGAGGAGCTATAGCTTATAGCCCTTTCATGCCAATGCAACTTGAGCAACCCTTCCCAGACAAAAAAGTGAAGCATCATTGGTCAACACTAGAATTTTTTTTAAAGAAAGTCCTTGTTCCTTGGGATGTTTTGCTGTCATGAGGAGAAAAGAAATCAAGAAACTGTATGAATTTCATGTAAATTTGTTAAATAAAGAGAAATTGTAATGGCTATTAGTAAAACAAGGGGTTGTGCTCATACCAAGTTATAAAATATTGGAAAGGACATCTTGAATCTGAAGTCAGACTACGCTAGCATATAATTGCTAATGTAACTCTAGAAGAAACTAAAGCTGTTACAGAAGTGATTTCCCACTTGGGAAAATCTGTGGGAAGCCAGACTTCCCTGCCTCTCATCAGAACTAACAAAGCCTTTCAGAGAGGGAGTCTTCTCAGGTGATGGGATAATGATAGAAGAGAGAACCTGAAATTCTGCTTCCTGCTCTGTCTGGTTCAAATCATGGACCTGACCTCCAAGCTTTAATTTCTTAGCTAAAGCTAAAGAACCACAAAAGCATGGTGAAAATAACCCTAACCTAAACGTGGGAACTGTGGAACCATGTCATGGGTGGTGGGCATGTGTGACAGCAGCTGGTGTTGACAGGGAACCAAAGAGGCCATGTTAATAAATGCACAGCATCTTTCTCTCTCTTCTTTGGGTTAGCAATGATTATGTATGCAAAGTGGAGCAATTCCCACAGGAAGTTGGAGAGACCGAGGAGAGCCTTGTGGAGGGGCTTATAGACCAGTCTCTTTGTGCTATCTCTCTCTGCCTTTTTCATTTTAATCAAATGTTTTGTTTCTGTTGAAATTGCTACAGGCATCCCTTAAAAATGGCTCCATTGTGAATGATTCTCATTTTCCTGCCAAAAGTCCTTTTAGTGGGAAATGCTAGAAAATCCTTTTGTTTGCTGGCAGTCCCTCCTTGTGGAAGACCAGCTGCTCATTTCTGTTAACAGAGCAGGTCTTGATTCCTCAAGAGAAATACACTTTACTGTCAAAGCCTGCCCAAGATGCAAGTGCAAAAGCACAGGAAAGCCATTGGAGAAGAAGACAAAGATTCAAAGATGAAGATGATTTTTGGTTGCAAGAGTGTCTGGCTTTGCTTAGGGAATGATTCGCGACCTCATGACAGCATGCACAGCAATGCTTCCTCTTGTTAAGAACATTTTTGGCCACACTGGGCCCCATCACATCAACCTGTGCTGATTCTTTGGGCTTTTGATCTTTCTCCTCAAATCAGGAGCTTCTGACTGACACCCAATTCACCCATTTCTCTAGAAGGGGCTCTGGGAAACACACCTGGATAGACTGGACTCATGGGGGGAGACAGAGATGGTTGATGCCATCTGTTAAGAAGTCAGTCAGTAATATACAAAACTGTGAGTACTGCAGACTTATTGGCAGCAATTTTAGATACAAGCACCAATAAGCCTATGACACCTAATGAGGTGATTTTTAGGAGGCTATTTAATTCCTTTCATCTAGTGTCTGTATTCCTGCCTACTCTTCACTTTTCTCTTCCCCCCCCTCTCTTTAGTCAAAATAACCAGAATTAATTTCTTTGCTTTAATGTACATGTTGCTTGTCTTGGGGAAAACCTATTTCATCCGTCTAGGTAATGAACTCTCCATTAAGATCTATGGTATTTTTAGGAGTTGCTTGCATATATAATCATGCTTTGCATTGCCAGGTATTTTACAGCACACCAGATTTTCCAGCATTGTCAGACTCTATTTCTTTACTGACAAATAGGCATATATCTCATTCCCAGTGATGATAAGATTAGCTGCAGGAGCTACAGGAGTAGAAATCAGAGACCAAACATGGCTTTTTTTGGTACCAGCAATCCTATCCTTCATCCTCCTGCTAATGCTGGTAGAGATGCTCTAGACTTACACAGGGGAATTTGAAGAACACAGATTCCTGGGAATCTAAAACATGTCACAGACAGTGGCAGCAGCTACCCTACACTTAACTCAGTGAATGCTGGACTGCTTTGTTTCTTAGAGGAGTTAGCTGAGTGAATAAATAGTTGTCTGCCCCTATGAAAATAAAGTCTAATATGCAATTAAAATGAAAGATTTTCCTTCTGAGGGTGTGGGGAACTGTTAGGTAAAATTATAGGAGGACCAGATGCGTAAAGTACTGTTGTTTCACATATTTAAAAATGAGGATAATTAAAAGAAGTGAAACATATAGAGTCTGTCTTTAATGCATTGTAAGGAATGCATTTGTAAGCCCCCTTGCTAGTATCTGTATCATTAGGGAGAATATAAGGACTAGTTATTGTATGTGGCAGATAGAAGACTAATTACAGAACAGACACTTGGATTTCCTTAATATAATAATGAGAGTTCATTAAACAGTGGCAAGGAACAGCAAGAGCAGTGCTGCAATCTTATTATTATTTATTTCTATTACAGTGCTGCATGCAGGAATCAAATGAAATGGGAACCCCTGTTGTGCTAGGTGCTGCATAAGCACAAATTAGGTGATTGACTCCTGCAGTTTAAACACTGCTCCTTGTAGCCATTTCCCGTGGGGATCAGAGTCCAGTTCTGATGGCGTTGACGCAGGTAGCTTTTTCACTTGAATTTGTGGGAATTAATTTTCCATTAAGTATGTCAAAGGTTTGACCAGTTGAGCACTAGCAGGGGATCATGTAGAGCTGAGGATGTACACGAAAGGGCAGAAGCAGAAGTTGCATTAGGTAAGCAGGACAGTAGCACAGGCATATAAATTGAACTATTCATAATCCCTGGGTGGAGAGGTTGGATTATTGCAAGAACTACTTATTTCAGAAGAGAAAAAGGAAATTGATAAATTCAAATTTCCTAGAGCTTCCTATGTGTCCCAGAGACTATGAAATATCCAGCATAGTGTCTGCATGGTGTAAGCAGTTCCTAATCCTCTCCCATTTGTAGGAATAGGATTTGTTTGGCTTCCTAGAAAAGAAAGGGATTCAAATGAAAATGAGCCACAGACCAGCCAAATCCCAGGTGCTGGGCAGGACACTCACATGATTTTTCCCCAGCTCTGTCCTCTGCCTTGGGAGTACAATGCCACATTCTC